ATTTTTAGAATTATATATAAAATTAAAAAATTGTGTATAATATAAATTTATGTTAAAAAAATGTTAAAACTTATTTATTATACTAAATTGTAGAATTATAAAACTAATTTTATTATTTAATTTAAATTTATTAAATATAGAAAATTTAAAACTGTAATTTATTAATGACATTATATATTAAGCACACTAATTATAACAGTTACATCATTAAAATGAAAATAACTTTAAAAAAAATACAATTTAAATAAACTTCAAACATAATAGATAAATAACATAAAACCTAAATCATATAACATTAGTTGTCTAACTTCATTGCTTGGTCAAGGTATCGTTCAATCGCTTCCATCCCATGCAATAATCCAATATACATCGTGGTAGCATACAATTCAAGACTTGTTAGGTCGTGCAATATGTGAACAATGAAAACATACACTACACATCTTCATATCATCCCTAAGACGACACACTGTATATTTATATACACCACCCATACATGAATTTGGGTAGCGGTAGTGGATATCTATGACAACTTTGTAATGAGGAAGATTAAGGTTATTATTAATAACCTACTTAAATTGCTGATAAGTCATCATGTTGCTTACCAGTATGGTTTTAGTCTCGTTGCTAACAAATGTATCTCCATGCTCAATGGAGACAATTTGTCCATCATAGTAAATAGTGGCTGGAACAGTTAACGACTGCATTGATTGGATGCACTACAAGAAAAATGCTGATTTCCGACGGAAATTTCCGACAAAAATAGGTAAATTTCCGATGGATTTTTCTTTTTTTGACGGATATCCGACGGATTTCAATCCACCGAAAAAAGTGGCGTCGGAAAAAAAAATTTGTCAGAAATAATTTTTCTGACGAAAATTTCTGACGGAAAATTCTATCAGAAAACTTCGTCAGAAATTTTTGACGGAAATATCTGTTAGAAATATCTGTCAGAAATTTCTGACAGAAAAATCTGTCAGAAATTATAATTTTTTTTAATTTTAATAAATTTATTAATGTAACAACCCTCATATTTGGCCTCTCAATGGTTCTATTTCATAATATTTCACTGTTTAGCGTGTTTTATCCTTACTTATGCAATTTCTATGAAACTTCTCAGAAGGTCACCCATCTCAGTACTACTCCAGGTCAAGCACGCTTAACTGTGAAGTTCTGATGAGTAAGCTACCGAAATGTATATGTATGTTGTCAGTATAACTTGTACAAATTAATTCATTTAAGTCATCTTCAAATATACAATCTCATATTTGTACTATAATAATAATATATAATAATTTTATATTACGAATAATAATAATAATAATAATAATATATTTAATTATTCCTTCTTTATATGTACTTACTTTTATAATTAACATCTACTTATTTTTATTTAAAATTATAATTTAAATTATTTAATTTTATAATTTATAATGATAATATAATTTATAAAATTATAAATATTTATTTATTACATACTTATAAATTAAATTTTAATATTTTAAATAAATTATTAATTAATTTAATATATTTATTTACCTTAAATCAAACATATAAAATTTAAAAAATGTATTTATCCTTATTTTTTTTTCTAATTATCAACTATTAATAAAATACTAACTTAAAATCTTATCTAATTATATATAATATTTTCATATCAAATTTAAAACCAGATATTAGTTATACAAAAATATTAAGATCATATAGTAAATTGTCAATAAGATTTTAGTTAAATAATTTAAAATAATTAATGTTTCAATTATATTGTTAATTAGCAAATAATTTATTCCAAAACTAATTAATTTTTTATATTAATTATTAGTAAAATTTAATAACTTTTAATTTAACAATTAATTCGATCGATGAAATTCAACACACACCATGAGTTATTGATCGGAATATCTTTACCAAGAGTTATTTTTAAATTATCTTAAATCAAACATATAAAATTCAAAAAATGTATTTATCCATGTTTTATTTTTTAATTATCAACCATTAATAAAATACCAACTTAAAATCTTATCTAATTATATGATAATATTTTCATATCAAATTTAAAACCAGTTCTTACATTTTCGACAAATATAAATTTGTCTGAAATATTCTATCAATAATATAGCTTTTCCTACAAAAATTTTCTCATCGAAAATATAAATTTTTCGACAGATTTAATTTTGTTTTATAAGAAATCATCTTCGATTAATATAACATTTTGTATATATGATTTAAGAGTAAAAGATTTTCAATTTAACGGTTGAATTTACAAAATTCACATTTAACACTAGTGAAAAAAAAAGGCTTTTAAAATCGGTTATTTTTCACTTTTAAAATCGATTCTGTAACCGATTTTAAAAGTGCCGATTTTGAAAGTTAGACTTTTAAAATCGGTTAAATAACTGATTTTAAAAGATAACTTTTAAGATCGATTATTTTATAACCGATCTTAAAAATCTGTGTTGCAAAAAAAAAAATAAACTGGAACGGGCTGTTCCAGGTTTCCGAAAACGAGTACAGGCCGTTTGGCAGGAGAACGGCCCGTGCTCCTTGCAGTACGGGTCGTTCTGCTTGGAGAACGGCCTGTTCTCCTTGCAGCACGGGTCATTTTCCTTGCAGAACGGCCCGTTCCAGCTACGTAATTTGCTTCCAAATCCGTAATTTGCCCAAAATGAACCTACAGCAAAAATAGAGACAAAAGAAAAGCATTAGAAAACGAAAAGAGACACAAAATAGAGCATGAGAAGACGAAAATAACAACGAAATTTATTAGAAATTGAGAGCACAAGAGAGTAAAAAAATGAATGAAGAAAAAGATTAAAGAGAATGAGAATGGAGGGAAATATAAAAGGTTGCTGACGATACTTTTAAAATCGGTTATTTATGAACCGATTTTGTATACTGCATACAAAATCGGTTCTGAAATAATCGATTTTAAAAGTAGCACTTTTAAGATCAGTTAAAATTTAACCGATCTTAAAAGTACTTTTAAGATCGGTTATTTAAGAACCGATCTTAAAAGTGTTATTTGATACAACTTTTAAGATCAGTTCTTTTGTAACCGATCTTAAAAGTTGTATCAGACAGCATTTTTAAGATCGATTCTTAAATAACCGATCTTAAAAGTACTTTTAAGATCGGTTAAATTTTAACCGATTTTAAGAGTGTTCATATTATTTACGAAATTACCACCGCGTCACTTTTAAGATCGGTTACCTTATAACCGATCTTAAAACTCCGATTTTAAATCCAATTTTTGCACTAGTGTAATATAAAGTTATTGAGCGGTGTAACACTTAGTAAAATTTATACCATTGTAATTATAACCTCCTCATATATATATATATATATATGTATGTGTGTGTGTGTGTGTGTTGTGTGTGTGTATATATATATGTGTGTGTGTGTGTGTGTGTGTGTGATAAATTGCTAAACTATTGAGGTATGATGCTTATAATGTTTTAGGCATGATATGTTAGTTTACTGTTGAACTATTAAGGTGTTGATA